AAGGTTCAATACAGCTTCCTTCGAGATATTAATAAACGCACTTAATTCAAGATAACTCACAACAGCAGGTTCCAAGCCTTACAGGATCTACTGAAAGAAGAAACTACCATGGAGAGGAACTGGAAAGGCATCAAAGAAGCTTTAATTTCAGCTTGTCAGGAGGTTCTGAACCACAAGAAGCATCATCGTAGGGGATGAATCTCTGCGGAAACCGTGGATAAGACTCATGAAATGAAGAACAAGAAGACAGCAAATAACAACAGCTGAAAAAGGGTGTGGAAGGTCAAGGCACAAGCTGAGTACACAGAAGCAAATAAGCAAGGGAAGAAGACCCTTAAAGTTGAAAAGCAGAAATGTGTGGAAAAATTACCTACAACGGAGGAGAAAAGTTGCAACTGAAGGAAATATGAGACAGCTACGTGGCACAACGAAGAAACTAGAAGGGAAATATAGTAGAACAGAGAGATCGGTCAAGGATAGAGAAGGAAAGACAATCAACGAGATTCAAGAACAGAAGAACAGATGGGTGGAATACTTCGAGGAACTGTTGAATAGTCTAGCTCCATCGAATTCACCGGACACCGAAGCAGCACACACAGATCTTCCTATAGACGATACTCTTCCGACGACCGGAGAAATCAGGATGACATCAAACAAATCAACATTGGCAAAGCAGTAGTACCTGACAGTGCACCAGATGATGCTCCGAAGTCAGATATAGAAGTAACTACAAGTATGCTTCACGTTCTATTCAAGAAGATTTGGGAGGAAGAACAAGTGCTGATGGACTGAAAAGAACGAAACAGCATCAACATACCCGAGAAAAGAGATATGAGCAAATGTGAGAAGTACAGAGGACTCACAATACCCCCAGTACCAGGAAAAACTTTCAACAGAGTGTTGCTGAACCGGATGAAAGACTCATTGGATGCCTAACTTTGAGATCGACAGTCTGGACTCCGTAAGAGTCGGTTTTGCACAGACAATTTGCGTCACTATGGATCATTGTTGAACAGTCAGTTGAGTGGGATTCGTCACAATACATCAACTTCATTGACTATGAGATAGCACTTGACAGTGTTGGTAGGAGAACATTATAGAAACTCCTTAGACATTACGGGGTTCCTGAGGAGATTGTCAACATTATTCGGAATTTAGACGGCAGACTAGAGTGCAAAGTCATGCAATGAGAACAGCTGACAGATGCATTCCAATTTAGGACTGGAGTCAGGCGAGGCTGATTACTTTCACTCTCCCTCTTTCTTCTGTTGTTTGACTGGATTATGGAGAATATGATGAACAGATCAGAATCAATAAGACGACTTGGACTTCACAGATGACTTGGCTCTTTTATCCCATACACACGAACGAATGCAGACGATGGCAGCTTGTGTAGCAGCAGCCTCTGTATCAGTAGGCCTCAACATACACAAAAGAAAAACCAAGATCCTCAAACACAACACCGAGAACACTAAACCAATCACACTTAATTGTGAAACTCTGGAAGATGTAGAATCCTTCACATACCTGGGAAGCATAACCAATGAATAAGGAGGATCAGATGTTGGTGTAAATGTAGGGGTTGGCAAAGCAAGCCTCACACTACTACAGTTCAAGAACATATGGAATTCAAAACAACTATCTACCAATATCAAAATCAGAATCTTCAATACAAACGTCAAGACAATTCTACTGTACTGAGCTGAAACGCGGAGAACTACTACAACCATCATCAAGAAGGTACAAGTATTTATAAGCAGTGGTCTTCGCAAGATACTCAACATCCATTGGCCGGATACTATCAGCAACAGCCTTCTGTGGGATATAACAGACCAAATTCAATCTGGAGAGGAAACCAGGAAAAGACGTTGAACGTGGATAGGACCGACATTACAGAGATCATCATACTGCATCATGAGGCCAGCTCTAACAAGAAATCATGAGGAGAAATGAAAAAGAGTAAGACCAAATAACACAGTACGTCGTGAACTAGAAACAGACATGAAAAGGATGAGCAGCAGCTGGAAAGAATGGGAAAGTATTACTCAGGTATGATAATTAGGGGTATTTAAATTATAATACGAACTAAGAATCCCAAAAATAACGTAAGTACAAGATAAACACGAACGAATGCACTGTATTTCGAATTCGAAATGAAGTATTCAACAAGTACAAAAGAATCAATAGTTCATTCAAACACCACATCCACTACAGTTTAAATTGGAGTCTAAGGTCCGTAATCGAATCATTAGAAAAAACCGTATCTAGTACAATAAAATGGGAAATCTGATAAATTGATTGATTAGAAACTGTTGTCTCACAAGGATTCTGAGTTTTATTTAACTCTGTTCTGCTATATGACTCTTTACCGTTTTTCAAAGTCGTGGGTGAAAACAAATGATCGTAAAAAACATCCAATTTAATAGGATCATAATTACAAATTTGAGCATTAATTGTAGCGGAATGAACCGTAGAACGACCAACTGACTGAATGTGTTCAATATCACCATAATCAAAGCATTTAGAATTGTGAAATACACATGGATTACGCGCATGAAATTTGCCACAGAATAAACACTTACCAAACTTGCTCTCATCTTCGTGAACTGCATCGCAACTCCTCAATGAATTGTCTCCATAAACTTCAGTATGCACTGGATCGGGATGACATAGTAATATAGTTGAATTTTCGATGTCCTGATGAATCGTTCTTCGAAATCTTCCTCCATTACAGCCTTCGAAATTCGTATACTTAACATAGTCTAGCAGCATTTCCTTGAAAGTCGCATAAGAGAAATAGGCTTTTCTGGTAAAGCTAGAGTTTTTAGTAATCTGTAAGCTTCTTTTCCGGTGAATGTGAGGAAATGTGCCACAATATTAACATCGTCAACCTTTTCCTTGGCCATCACCCAGATTTCGAACCTTTCTAAGTAATCCTCAAAAGCATCAAAATCTGAATGTTTGCCCAACCGTTCCATCACAGGCTCCATCGCGACGCCAATATGGTAATTTTGAGTATTTGAATCATAATACGAACTAAGAATTCCAGAAATAACATGATCGGATCAAGAAGTACTAGATAAGCACCAACGAATGTACTGCATTTGGAATTCGAAGTCAAGCATTCAACAAGTACAAAGGAATCAATAGTTCATTCAAACACTACACCAGGACAGGGTTGGATAAAGAGTGCTGGTGGGCGACCTATGTTCCTCCATGAGGTGTAACAGGTGTAAGTAAGTATGTAAATCAACGGTTTATACCTTGGACAGTCCCGAAGAAGAAGAACGGTCACCCCTGGATGGAACAGGATATTCGACGTTTACTAAGACAAAAGAAGAAATGTTAGAACGTTACCATCAGCCTTGGCATAGCAGGTCCAGGTCGGTAAAAAATTACAATCTGGGAAGCTCAAAGGAAATATAAAATGCATTTAGCCCAATCTGTAATTACACAGCCTAAGAGATTATTCTCGTACATGAATTACAGATCAATGATGCAACCTAATTACGGAAGAGGGTGGATCTGAAATGATAGAGGATGATCAGAAGAAAGCGGAGGCAATGGTAAACTACTTCGGGATAATTTTCACTCAGGAGCCTCTTTTAAACGAAGAACTAAACCCAAATACAAAGTCGATAAATCGTCTGTTTACTGTGGACTCTGACTGAGACGACGGAAAAGTCTAAAGGACCGGGTGAACTACACACTAAAATTTTGAAACTAATTGCATTATATATTGCCGCCCTACTGACTAGGATATTTAAAATGTCACTTGGCTAAGGTGAGTTGTCTGAGTACCGGAAGAATGCAATTGTTACTCTAATACATAAAACACGACCAGCACAACTTCCATCAAACTACAAACCTGTCAGCCTCATCAGTGTCGTAGTTAAAATACTGGAAAGAATAATCAAAGAGCAATTAAATGTATTCGTGGAAATCAACAACTTGTTAAACATCCCACAAAATGGTTTCAGGAAAAGTTTATCTTGCATAAAAAATCTCCTTATAGCAAGGGAGAAATGGATAAAGGCTATAGATAATAGAAAATCAGTGGATGTTGTATACATAGGCTTCAGAAAAGCATATGATAAGGTGCCAAAAATCTAGGCATTACCGGATGTCTAAAATGGCTTAATGATTTCCTAGTATGTCGTAGACAGAAAGTAAGAGTAGATTCCAAGTGCTCCAACTGAAACCAGTACTTAGTGGAGTACATCAGGGCTCTGACCTAGGTCCTTCAATTTTTATACTGTATGTAAATGAAATCTCAAGTATAGTTGAGTTCCCAATGCTACGAGACGCTGATGATATAAAAAATCTGGCGAAGAATAACAAGAGACGCACGCGCACCTCAGGCAGACTCAGATATTGTGATTAAATGGCCTAAAAGTGGATAACGTCTATCAACCTGGCCATGTGTGCCTACATGAATTTTTGGGATACAAAGGTAAATAAGTACATCACAGGGGGAGTTTCTGTGCCAGTAAGTCATGATCTTAAGACCACAGCCCATCTCAGCGAGGTTGCAACTGAACGTTTTAGAACTATATGGGCTTTAAGACGGACATTCACCAAGCTAGATACCACTGTGTTCACTGCAGTATACACAACCTTAGTGAGAACTAAGCTTGAAAACTGAATTCAGGCTACAAGCCCCTGTTTAAAAGGCTACTCAGACATCCTGGTAAAATTACAGAGGGCAGTTATCCGTGCAAGTACAGGGCTCCAGAATTTACCACACAAAGAGCGGCTTGAAAAGCTAGACCATTTGAACCATTTGGATCTTTTCTCTGTTCTATCCGAGGTGAAGAGGTGATCTGATTTTAATGTATAGAATACTAAGAAGTGATTTCGGACCTAATATATCACCTCCTTTTCCTTCCCATAAGATCGGAACATCTCAGATGACATAGCAGGTGAGTAGAAAAGCTAAGAACGAACAAAATACCCGTGGCACACAGGTTTTCACACCGAGTCATCAATTCTTGGAACCTGTTACCAGAAAAAGTGGTGTCCGCACCAATTTAAGAGAAGACCAGACACTGACAGAAGCATGCTAGACAAGAGATAATATAAGCTGTAGGCCTTCTGCCTTTGCTACACAAATCTGAAACTTATCTGAGTGAAGCCTCAACTATTCTGTGCCCATTTGAAACCAAATGACCTTGGTGGGATGATTTGAGTTTTTGTTCTGTAACGCTTTAATTAATGTAAGTGCACTTTTTCTGTTTATTGAGCAGTCATCTAATTACTTTTGTTGTTGTCTCATTTCACTTCCAGCATCTGGCCATCCAGTTCTGTGTAAACTTTGATAATTCTTACACACCAATGACAATCCTGTGATTTCTGACTCATTCTACTCACATTTTCATCAACTTAATCAGTTTATTTTTCCGGAAGTTGCGATTTTAGACACTCCCAGTTTTTCCAAGTAATAGCATGTAGTTAATGCTACAGCTACATGTCAGGTATTTGGTGTTTGTCGATAGGAGACACGTGACCTAGGTTATTCGTCAGTTGATACTCGTCTGCGAAGCATAGCTGTAATCTTCGCGGAACCATTTTAACAGTAAAATGCCTACAGTTGAGTGGCCGATACAACCTGATTGGTGCAATTTCAACACTCGAAGGATTTGGGAAACTTGATATTCTTAATCAGTCGGTGACCAATCAATAGTAATTATGACTTGTGCAACAAAATGCAGATCGATAGAAGAACCTAATATGTCCCGTTTGTAACGTTTGCTGCACTATTTTCAGCCTCCGTGTTGTGTGTTAAGGTTTCAGAAAAAGTTTGGGACCACATAATTCCGTAACATAGACACTTTGGATGCCTATTACAATCTATGGCTCGAAGGACAACAATTCGTCATGCTGTTTTTCTCACACCACCGACTTACAACCCAATCTAGTTAATCCTCTTCGCGTTCCACACTAGTTAACTGGTTTCAAAAGAAACAACGAGTTTGGTCAGGATACATACTTCATGTACCACTTACCAATACTCCCGGCGTTAACCTATCTTATTTTGCGGAGGCTAGAAACTCGCAAAATTCAAGTCGTAGCCAACTGACAATTATTTCTGTTGAGAGAATAATCAATAAACACTTAGATAGTTGTGTCACAAATTGTCGCTACACTTTAGAAGTGAAGTCCGTTTCGCTCAGCTAGATTAATATGTAGGATGCATTAGTGATCACGTCGTTGAATATTTACATCCATATATATATATATATATATATATATATATATATATATATATATATATATATATATATATATATATATATATATATATATATATACATCTATACATCTAAACTCCTCTCAGTAGCATTCAATCATTAGGATAGCACTTCGTGGTCAGATTAACATTGATAGTACAGTTGATACCTTTCTCTACTTACTTAACTTTATAATCACTCAGTTGTAGACTGGTGGTTAGTGGTAAAGGCATTCGAATTTCAGCCCCTAGGTTCTACGTCCGAATTCTCCTCTACTCATTTCAGTTTGGGCAACCGGGTAGTATCACTAGCCTTAATACCTGGTGTGTAGTTTACACCCAAATACCTTATGAACGAGTTGTTTTCTTGTATTTTTTATTAGTCATCCGCTTTAAGGAGCAGTTCGGCTGTCCTCCAGCTACTCTACGACTGCCAACCTTTTCCAAACACCCTGAATAGAACATTGCATCAACCATATATTCACCATTCGTCAGGTTCTAGAACATAGGCACGCTTATCGGCGTCCGACAATGATAGTTTTTCTTGACTTAAAAGAAGCATTTAGCTCTGTAGATCGAGAGGTTTTATGGCAGTGTCTGCCATTGAAAGGTGTACCTCAAAAGTACATAAACCCTGTGAGGTCTCTTTACTCGAACACTACTAGTCGAGTCAGAGCTTATAGCAAACTGTCATCTGATTTTTAAACTTTAAGTGGTGTCTAACAAGGTTGTCCACTATTTCCATTTTTGTTTAACTTCATCATAGACCTATTGATGGAAATAACAGTCTCGTCGACTGAATTATCGGGTATGGATCTCCTTCCATGAGGTCCACTTATCGACTTAGAATACGCAGATGACATAGTCCTGTTTGATGAAGACGCTGATAAAATGCAGTCTTTTGGTAGCACTAAGCAACAATGTCGGGATGTTTGAGATGTGTTTCTCCCTCTTGAGATGCAAGTTGCTGCTTCAGGACTGATCTGCGTCAACACCTGAACTAATGATAGGGAGTGAAGTAGTCGAACGCGTCGACAACATTACTTATCTTGGGAGTCTGGTCAGCCCTAATGGGTTTGGTGTCTGACGAAATCTCTGCACGCTTTTGAAAGGCTAGTTTGGCTTTGGCCAACTTACGTTACCTGTAGCGAAGGTGAGATATCCACCCATCAGTTTGTTCTGTTCTACTTTACGGCTGCGAAACGTGGCCATTAAGAGTAGAAGATACACGTAAATCGATAGTATTTGATCACAGATGTCTTAGAAATATTGCTGACATCTGGGATCACCGGGTGGGTAATGGTGATGTTAGATACAGGGTATTAAGGAATGATAATAAGTCCGTTGATAAAATTGTGAATCTACATCGACTGAGATGGTTGGAGCACGTATTATGCATACCCAACCACCGGTTACCATGACGTGCAATGGTGACTAGTGTTGGAGATGGTCGGAAGAAAGTTAGGGCTGGCCAAACCAAAACATGGGATCAGTGCTTGAAGTCACTAACTTCTAGTCTGATCCATGTCGGTAGATGCAGACTACTTGGTTGGGGTCCGCGTGAATATCGTAAGGAGTGGTCGGAGACTCTTAGTGACATGGATCAGAATCGATCACAATGGCGTCGGTGTATACACTATCTGTGTTCCCTTAAACTAAAAGATTATAATCGCTTCTTATCTTTCTTTCTACGAACTAATTCTTTCTTCCTGTACTATAACCTTATATGCAATCTTTCTTTTATATATTACCACCTCTGAATTAACTGCTTTTATGAATCCGGTGTTCATCTTATTGTGTTAATGAGGTATTGTAACTTGAATCGATGCATATATGTGCCTGATCCTACATTGTAGCTGACTGACTGACATTCATTCGCTTAGAGTTAGTGTTGACTAATATTTATTGCTATGTACATATACTCTGTGCTAAATAAATCTTCGGCTCATGTTTTCTGTTCCATGCGATCGCATTTCTGCTTTGGATATCTCCTCATATCTAGAAGCTAACTTCAAACCTTCTAGCTTTTGGTTGTTGCAGTTTTATTTGAGATGTTTATACTGTTAGTGTCGGATATCATTGTTTCTAATTCTTTTATGTGTATTGTAAACAGTTATCATCTCGTTTCAGTGATAACTACACTTGTATCTATTTATATATTTAGTTACTGAATCTAGTTTTTCTTTCGTCTTCCAGATTTCTGTGCTAACTAAAACCCCATAGCAACACACTTTCAAACTGCCTTAGTGGCATAATTGCTGACAAGAAGGAGGCTTATTAGTACATAACCGTTGCAGGACACATTTCTAAGATTATGTCTTCTCTTTTGGACTCTGAAGCTTCTGAGGCCTCTGAACTTTCCGACTTGGATGACGACGATATAGTGAAGAAGAAACTGGACAAGCGACCTGCCCTCGATGATCCAGATTCCAGTGATAGCGACGAAGAAGAAGAAGATTTAGCTAATGAGGAAGAAATCTGTCGGAAAGAAGGCGAAGGCTGGATTGTGGATGAGGAAGAAGACGACGGTGGTGCATCCGAAGGCTCTGATGGAGATGATGCTGAGGAAATTGGGGACGAAGGAGACAAGGATGATGACGACGACGCTTTGGATGATGATGATTTTCAACTCATCCAAGAAAATGTTGGTATCAATTTGAAGAAACAGGTAATTGTTTCATGTTTAGAGGTTTATCTGGCTATTTATCTTGATTCTGACAGTTTGTGATGAGCATCTTATCTGGTAACCCAGTTTTAGACATACTTAATAGTGGAATGCTATGAAAAAACCAAATATGTATGATATTGCCCCTTTACCATGCCTAAAACGCTCTAAATCAATTGGGGTAAATCACTTATCCTACCGTACTGAGATTCTGAATGTGAGCCTCCGAGATCTGTCATACAGCCTGTATTGGGCTGGCAGCATAGTGAATACCTCAGTTCCGTTCTTAACAAAGAAAGGATAACCAAGCTCCTCGACTATCTTTGTTAAGCGCCGAAAGTTGTGTTCTTAGAGCTAATGGTTATTTGTTTTAGATCTTTTTGCTTGATCCTTTACTTTTCAGTTAAATAAAAACTTATTTTTTATCATGCTTGTCTCTGTCATTACTACCACTTAACTTCTTAGTGAAAGACCTAAGTGGTTCGCCTTTCGTCCTTTATAAGATATTTAAGACGATCTCATAAAAACCGTTATATTCGATGTCTATGATAGCCCTTCAGTTGTACCTAATTGTGTACTCTCCAAATCGTGTAAAGGTCGTTTGAAAATTAAGTTTCGTTGATTTAGAAACAAATATTACGCAAGTAATATATATTTTAAGGAAGCTAAGTATCAAAAGCTTCTTTTTGACCCTAAAATTATTATGACACGCTTGGAAATAATAAGCTACTGACAACCACTGTTATTTTAAATTGTTAGTACATTTCCAAGCCACGTGGTAAAAGGTATTTCATGTTAGAGATTTAGCCATCTAAATATGCACATTGTCTTGTGACGTATAAGAACTTGATGAAATATTGTAGACGGAGAATTCTGTATTGTGATAGATATAATATTGAATAGAGACTGTGATTACTTTTATCAGGGATTCTATCATTCCTGACGGCATAGTAGTTCATACAAAAAACCGGAAATCTTCAAATTAAAACCATAATATATTAAATCATTCCAAGAATCTAGGTAGTGATCACCATTACTTATGTATTTCGAAGCCAAAGGATCAGAATTCGCTGTTATTTTCGCTCATTGATTTTACGAAAGCCAGTGCTGTTTACTGGGGTTTTAGTTCCTCCTAATTTATTCACAATTGTATTTAGCTTACTTGAGTAGTATAGAATCTCACGCTATTGAATTTGATCACTTTAAAGGTGATCCACCTTTGCTTATTACACAAAGATTCACTGAGTTTAATATATCAAAAAAGCTATGGTGTCTTTGACGATAATGTATTTCGGACGCCGAAATAGTCAGATACCGTCATTATCTATCTGAGTGTCAATATCTTAATAACAAAATTTTCACTTTACATCTTTGTTCATAAATTAATTAAATACTTTAACATATTATTTCCTTACAAGCTCTCATTATTATTGAATTCTATTTAGAAAAAACGAAGATTGGTGCTTGACGATGACGATGAAGCAGATGAAGATGAAGTTGTATCCAAGAAAGCAACCTATGAAGAGGATAGAGGAAGAGAAGCTATTGCACGTCAAATCTTTGAAGACGAGGATGAAGAATTTGATGAAGACAGAGTTGTTCGTAGCAGGCCAACTGATTTTGGTGTGTCAGTTGGTGATGAAGAAGAGGAGGAAGATGAGGACGGTAATTATCATGTATATATAGTGTGATGAGTTTCGCAATGAACTTATTCTCAGTATCACAAATGCAGATTTTCCTAAAGTTTAGGATGATAAATAAAGTGTGTGATTCATTACAGAGTAATGTGGTGAACGAACACTGAGTGGGGGGCAACCAGTATATTTTAACACAAAATTACAGAAGCTCTTGGTAAAATATGAAAACCGTACATTGAAGAATTCATTTACAAAAGTCTGTTATTTTCCCTTCACATTCTGTATGATTCTTCCGAGTCACAATTCCTTTCTATTTCCGTTTCTGTTTTTTTCCAACTTGATCTTCTTAGCCTTCGGTTGCCAGGGTTTCCACCTCCGATCGGGTTTACATACTACTTATATCTGTCGACATAGGTAGCGCACACAGCAGAAGCAAGATATTTTATCGACAGCTGGCTTAATATTTATAATAAGGTTTGCTTTGTTGTATTTTCGATTGCACTCGGTTTATCTATAAAACAAATAAAAAAACACGAAAATATTATTTACTAAAACTCATTGAAAGGAAAGTGATTACAAAAGTACAAGTCACCTTTTAGAAAGGGATACGTTTGGATTGAAAGCCGAAATTCTATCAGTTTTCAGTTATCATTCGTTTCTTCCAGCTAATTTAACCTTATGCGGAAATTCACTTCCTTGACATACATCCCATTAAATGTTATTCTCTTTCCACCTGATTGCTTAATTGTCTCAATATTGGTAGTTCTGTCCAACTAGCAGTGTTGTTGGACTTCAGCAATTAAGAGGCATAAACTTCATTAAAAGTTAATCACCTCCTTGATCAACCTGTTTCTCTTACTACTTAGCCTAAAACTATGCAGACCACATCAGTTGAATGTAACGCAGTGTATGTTGCTTGAATGGAAATTTTTGGGCTATAATAATAGTTGACATCACAGTCATCGACAAAAAACAGAGTCACTCACGATTAAGTGGCTACATTTACGTTCGTTGTATCATGCAGCAGTTAATTCCGCTCAACACCGTGTTTTTTATTGCTTTCTGTTTATTATGTTGAGTTTTTGTACTAACCTAAGTCGTTACTAATATCATTTGAATTCTTATGTGAGCGAACTAAAGTGAGGTAAATGTACTAGTTCAGAGATTCATTAGGAGATGAATGTGCATTGAAAAGTAACAATTATTTAGTTTAGATTGAAATATGAATACCACCTTTTCGCCAATTACTCATTTGGCTCTTTGAATAGTATTTACTGACAACACTACTTACTCTTATGATTTTCAATGGTATTAAATGCACCATTTAAAAAAAATCTCAAGTAATTGTAGGCCATAAATTATTAAAGCATTTTATTTTCGGTTGTTTTTCATTTATCTTTCATTTAAACAATCAGACAGATTTCGGTAAGATTTTAAGTTACTTCTAATATGTATGCGGCAAATGCGAAGTTATCTGTATTTCCGATTTGTTTATCTTATCACTTCTTATAATGTAGACATGGGGGACTTTATCGTGGATGATAGGACGGGTGCTCCACCTACAAGACCTTCCAAGCGTATAGTACATAAAGATGCAGCACTCCAACAAGCTCAAAATATTTTCGGTGTTGATTTTGACTTATCGGAGTTCGAAGCATTCCGAAAATCGCGGGTTGGAGGCGATGACTACAGTGACGAGTCAGAATATGAATATTCAGACGAAGAGGAAGGCTCTAAAGCTAGACGATCAAAACACCGCCGGGCACCTTCGAATCTGGTCATGGATGATCGTGTTTACGAACTTTTTGATCCTAGTGATCTTGAAAGAGCCTACTACAGCCAGGCAGATGAACGCATTCGAAAAACTGATGTTCCAGAACGCTTTCAACTTCGTCAGGTTCCCGTTAAGTACATTGATTCCTGTTCAGCAACATATACTCAAGATCTGCAGGAACTTTCTGATGAAGCCGAGTGGATCTATCGTCATGCTTTCAAAGAAGATGCTGAATATAAGGTAACCATAGATTTTCTTACTTATTTTATTGTTAGCCTCCTGGAGTTATACCTAAAATTCTCGAGTCCCTAAAACTTATGAGGGAGTTTTTGTTTGAGGTCCCTTTTATTGCATTTTACCGGAAAGAATGCATAGAAAAGGACCTGAATATCAAAGACCTTTGGAGAATATATCAAATGGACGAAAAATGGACCATTTTGCATCAACGCAAAAGAAATATGATTAATCTTCTTCAACGCTTGTCAGATTATTTTGAGGCTCTCACCACAGAAGATGCGGTCAGTTCACTAAAGAAACATTGTTCTTCGGTACTGAAATTAATTGCATGGTTAGTCAAGTGTTAAACACTATTCCGTTTTTAGTGCTCGTAGCGCAGATTCTTTAGAGGAGCTGTTCGACGTCCGGTTGAATTATCTGCTTCACTTTTCTGGATATGTCGAACCAATGAACCGTTGGTATGCGCGTCAGAAAAAGGTACGTCGAAAACTTGATTTCGATTTTTTCTCCTTTTGATACTTATTATTTTGTTTTCATATTCCTTTTAATACTTTTCAGGGAGGCGAGGGGGAACAATCTGAAGAAAAAGAATACGATGAAACAAATGTTGAAAAAGCTATCCCGATTACAACAACTATCGACCCAATAACTGGACGATCTATTCGTCAGAGGCAGGCTCGTGCAACTGCTTCATATGAGGTGGCCAAACGAGCTGGTATAGGTGATCTTGTACAAAGATTTGGTCTTTCGGCGTCTCAGTTTGCTGAAAATGTTCAGGACCAGTATCTTCGCCATGATGTTGACCAATGCCCTATGTTACCTATTGATGCAGCTGGTGACTTTCTGTCCCCACAGTTTCCTAATTCTGAGTTAGCACTGTCTGCAGCTCGTTATATGCTTGCATTTGAAATTTCTCGTGAGCCACTTGTTAGAAAAATGATGCGCCAAATGTTTAATCTACAAGCTGTAATCAGTATGCGTCCTACTGAGAGAGGGGCTAAACATATAGACGAGTCTCATCCACTTTTTCAAATTAAATATCTTTCTAACAAACCAGTTGCTGATTTGATGGGTAATGCACTTTTCCTTCACATACATAATGTAAGTTCACGTACAAAGGTGTAATATATATATCACGAATCTCTATTTTCGGTCGGTTCACTAACGACATAGTTATGTTAACCATCTCACTATAATTGTGGCTCAATCAGTTGATCGATCTTCATATTCTTATTGACCGCACCGTCATTATTTATCCACTTCATTAATACTTCCCACTAAATACTTTAGAAATTAATTATTAATCATATATAAATGTTACCCTTCTTGAGTACGATTTTGTGGTATTTTTTTCAACATGATATTTTTTTTCACTCTTGTAACGTCGCTTCATCATGATTGATATATAACTATTTAGCCTCGTAAAAGTTGAAAGGTTCATTACGCTTGCCATAAAAGTATTATGAAATCTATCACTCGGGGTATTAAAGCGCAACGCAAAATACGGATTATTAACAGACTGTTTTACGTTTTTCTTTCTTATTTAACCCACTCATACATCAGTTATAATAACACATCAACGTAGGTACGGATCCATAAACGTCGCTTGGTTTTTACAAAATTGCATCACTCGTGGTGTAGGGCAAATGTCTGTTTCTATTAAGGAGTTAATATACTGCTTAGCAATCCGTTCTGTATTACACCATAGCTGTGAAATATAGTCTATGAAAGTAGAAGACATGCATTCTGCATGTGTTTGATCTTAAGTGTCTGCGAACCATTGTTGGCGTATGGTGACACAACGGAGTAAATAATGCTAAGGTTCGGCATAGAATACTAGGCAAAGATACCAAATAGGTTCGTAAGGCAGTAAATTCTCATTAGTTAAGATGTTTGGTAGATGTTTTACTTACGTCCAACTACCGCCTATTTCGTTACGTAATATTGACATGCTTAATTAGGTTTTTAGAACGTTTACTTGTGTTGAGAGTATTTTTACATCATTTTCATAATGTACTTATTTTCAATATAAATGAAACGGTTCCTTCAATCGGGAAGCTTATTCAGTAGTTTAAACACAAACTAGAAAACATTTGTCCAGTTTTCTTCACATAGGCATTAAGATTTAACATCGTTTATTGTCACGTGCAATTAGCCGTATTGTTACCTTCAACTCTTCTCATTTGTAAGATAAAGTTTCAACATACGGTTTCGACGAATGATTGAAAGTATTTTATACATATATTAGCTTATTATCCACTAATTATGAGGTAATGATTAAATTATGCAAACCCATATATGAAATAACTACTCGTTCTGAGGATGCGTAAATGAATAGTACTTGTCAGATGTTTATTTAGTTTAATCGGAACATATCGGTTTACATTAATCTCCTGGTACAACAATGGATTAACTTTCATGTTTAACTGTAATCTTCAATAAATCAATCAACCATCGAATTATTTTTAACAACTGTTATCTTTTATTCAGAGAAATCGTTTCTAGACAATAGTATATAAATCTCTCTAAAATGTTTAATTAAAAATCATTAATGTACTAAAAAATAATATTCAGTAGAGAATTTATAGTTAGATTTTTCTATGCAGATAAAAGTTAGGACTACTGGTAGAACTCTCAGTTATTTTAATACTTACATTTGTAGATTATTTAAACTGGTCATCAAAACCTTCAAAGCATAAAATTTATTTATGACTGGTACTTTCGGGAGATATATTTTATATCATGATGCTTAACTACTCACTACTGAATGTGCTTAATTATCTTGACTTTTTATACTTTAACTTGAACTCAGGCTGAACGTGACAAACTAGTGCAATATGAAATTCATGTGCCAACCGAACAAATTCGAGGTTTATCGTTAGTAGATGAGCTTCAACGTTTCTTTTATCAAGACGAATTTAGTTCATTGGTTCAAGCATGGAATGAACAACGTAATCTAGTTCTTAAACAGGCTGCTGAAGAATTTATTTTCCCTGGACTTGTACGTGAATTACGACAGAAGTTACTCAATGAAAGTCAACAAGCTGTACTGAGAGTATGTACTTTAATAAATTCTGCTAGCAAATTTTATATTAATTCATTCGTTATATAAGAACTAAGGTAATAATTAACTAGCTGAATGATGTGAATGTTCATTGGCTAAGTGAGATTAACGAGACTACCCAGTCATTCAAAATTGATAGCTGGAATAAGTTTCAACTTTCCGCTTGCTAGTTGGTTGTCCCTTGCTTTCATCACAGTTACACTCTGAATATTATTTCCTCTACGGATTTTGATATTAATAGCATGATTAGTCAGGGCTTGAGTTATTGCGTTGTTGACATTCAGGATTAGGTTTTTTATCAGTCTTTGTTAGCATATGTGCATTCCGTGTAATCTGCATCGTTTTGTCACAAGGTGAGGCAATCCGCACATGGTGCACATATCCCAACAAAGACTCGTCAAAAAATTCTGTCCCAAATATCAACAACGGTATACTTCTTATAGTTAATAATAGTAATATAAACATCATACCTGTCTTAAAAGTTAGTGCTTCTTTAAACACACCAGCTAGGTGGATAAGAAGTTAATGTTTGAACATTGACACTGGGATACAGACGCATCAAATTTACGTTTCCCAAATAGGAGGAAGTGTTGTTCCTATATTCCATTAGCGGTGAATATCTGTTCCGAAAAATTGTTACTGATGTGTTCTTTTTATGTTATGATAACAATTTTAATGTTTTTTACGAGGGTTTTGTATATATCGATCTCCTCCTCCTCACCACTACCACCACCTAAAAAAACTACCATTTTATAACACATGTTTAATTTATCGTTGGATTTCTTAAACATAAGCTAGTATCAGATTACTGTCTTTTTGTTACACACATTTTGTCGATGATATGAACTTATGTTTAGTTGTCGAATTAAATTTTAAAAAATGTTTAATAAATCTTTCTTAACGTAACTGGGGAAAGCGTTTAATAACTGAAAAATTAATGACCACAATAGTGGTGCGAAATTAAATGCAAAAAGTAAGAGAAACAAGTGAAAATAAAGACTGAATGATCCAAAATCCAAGGTTTGAGTACAGATAAAGAGTAAATGGATTTTCAGCTAGAGCAATCAAAGTATTCAACCGTTGTCTCATGGACTTTAATTAAGAAACTTGTACCTCTGTCTGCATATTTGATACCAGAACCCTGACTTCGAAAACTATTGTGATGTTTCAATGTGACTTTTCTTCACCTCTATCTAATCCACTCATTCGTTATTTATTTTATCAAATTATAAACATCAATCAGTTATTTAAAATGAACACTGGGTAGTGTTGTGAGTTGGTAGCACAGTAAATGCTTCGAGTCATCATTAAACAACTTGTATTTAATAAACTAGATGGATAAATTTCTTTCAATTTTAGTTAATGTGTAACTCTCTTTAGTTTTGAAAAGAAATCTTGAGCGAACAAACAGACTGTATTTTCACTATTCACTTTAAAATAATATTTAGGGACTATCTTCTGTGCCGTTTAAACGTTATTATCTATTTATTTAAACACATAAACATTGGTACAAGGAGGCATCAGATAGATATGTACCACATAAGTCATTTGATTTGTTTAAGGGCTGAGATACTGCCCGGACGCCCAAACAGAAGCAGGTGGTTTTCTTAGGGGGCCACTTCCCGAGCCTTCAATCTAGAGGTCTGATCCACAAGGCAGTGGAGCATCGTTAGGAGATTTAATCCTGTGGTAGCCGGTGACCAACAATAGGTTCATACGCGATTTGTTTTCTCAGGATACTGAAGCCCATGTGCACCATTGGTTTGGAATCAGGGTTTACAACTCCACTAGGTGAATCCTCTATATCCATCAACCCAGTTAAAGCGTCGGATATTCGCTTTTCGTCCTCCCAATTTCGTAAACAACAGTAATGCCGCAAAAGGGCAGTGAGTAGGACTTCTCTGACAGTGGCTGTGTATACGCATGGCCACGTAAGAGCATTTTGAAAGGGAGAGTTGACTTTTCACCCTCGACCGTATCAGGCATTTTAACTACTCTGTATTGTGGTCGGCTCATACATTACTTCTGTCTTAAAAGTTGCTAACTGAAGATTATAATACACAATTAAGATGATAATGCCACGTCACAGCCACGCTATCAACAATCAACATGTTTTGCTTATCTTGTTGACTTTATTTTGCAATCATGTTTAGTATTATATGTATGTATTTTAGTGCTTTATGGAAAAGTCTTTTGATCCATTAGTATGATGCTACTCTGTTTTCAAATCCCTATATCTTATACTTAATCGTTTATGTACTCTTTCTGATTAAAATTGCAGATGTGTGCCAAAAAGTTGTTTAATTACCTTCGGATAGGTCCCTATCCTCCTGATGGACATCGTTCATATGAAATGGATACAGAAGAAACTGCTTCTTCTTTTGTCAATAATCGTCACAAATCAGATTTTCATACTAGCGGAGACATTGATTCCCGTTCTAGTGGAGCTGTTTGGCCAAAGGGAGCTCGTGTTTTGGCTCTTGCACTAAAAAACGAGGATGATAGTCGGAAGTCAATGGTGACTGCTGTTCAACTAGACTGTAATGGTGAGGTTGTTGATTTTCTTCATTTCCATGGTCTTTTGGTATCTCGTCGTGCTCCAGAAGAAATGAAAAAAGTTAAGGTATGGTTTCAAATATTTTAGGAATACTATAATGAATAAAATTATTTGTTTCGTGATTTACTGTGATCTTAGCGCATTGGGCCATAAAAATATACGTAATTGAGATTCTTTGTTTATATATTTGTAAATTTAGGACGAAGATATGCAGCGCCTTTCAACATTTATGGTAAAACACAAACCTCAAGTTTGCGTCATCGGGTGCGATTGCAGAAAGGCCTTGTTTTTGCAAGAAGACATTCAACATCTTGTAAACGAATTGGCGAATGAGAGACGTCTACCCCGTATTCATGTTGAATTGATGGAAACAGAACTCTCTATTGTTTTTGCTCTTTCTTCTCGTGCCTCATTTGATTTACCTATATCGTACCCTTTACTTCTTCGTCAAGCTATCTCTTTAGGAAGGCGTCTGCAGGACCCCTTATTTGAATTCGCTCAACTAGTAACTATTGAGAATGAAATTCTTGGTATCAGATGGCATCCACTACAAGATTCTCTTCCTCGTGATATGTTACTTCGGGCATTAGAGATAGAATTCATTAATCGAGTGAACGAGGTTGGAGTTGATGTGAATCGTTGTTTGTCTCACCCACATACTGCTGGAGTTATTCAGTTTATTTCAGGACTTGGACCTCGCAAGGGCCTACACATGCTAAAGGTAATTTTTTCGAACTAACAAGTTTTAATGATAAAAAACTACATCGAGCAAACTTTTTATCCTGGCAATGTTGTTTGTTAAGCCCACTCATTGTGAAGAGAGTCAAGAGGTAGTTTATCATATGAACTATTCATGAAATAGGTGTCACATCAATCTGTGTCTGTCAGTTTGCTTGATACCAGGAAGTAGGTTTTATCAGTTGTATATTCTCGTTCTTTCGACATAGGTCTCTGTGCATCACTTTTTTGACGATATAAATTAGAATGTAAGTCAATAAATAGCTAGAATTTCTCATACTTGGTTAGCTAACTACTCAGTCTCGTTGTTATGATCGTCCACAGTTATCTACAAAGATGGACGAATTAGCTCAAAGAGATTATAGATCAGAAACTTATGCTCGACATAGAATTCATCGTTCCCTTAATTCAATTCTGTATTCAAATGTTTCATCTACTCCTTGTGACTGATAAAAATGACCTACATGCAGTATGACATATATTTTTGTGCATTTTGGTAAATGTAGGTAAGCCTTTATTGAATAGTGTACAATTATATCAAGGTTACGTGTGTTCCTGAATCTGGAGGCAAGGGAAGATCTGAACTATTTTATCTACCTGGTCCCTTTTTGGTTTATTGTTCTACAGGATCAGTTCACCGTCAAAATGATTGTTGGTTCTCTGATTAACGAGACTGCTTTATCGTAGTTGGTTCGTTTATGTTTGTCAACTAGGAGCTTCTGTTTTTTTTCTTACAAGCTTGAATGATCGATATCCACTTGGAAAGACTGTTTAGTCCTTGTATCTTAGCTAACTAATACTGATTTGTTCGTAGAAATATATATAGAGAGACCATTAGATCAACTACTTTTCCGTACTTGAATTTTCCAGTATCTGTAAATATTGTGTGAATAATGCTAATATTTCATTTAAAATTATGACCGTATAATTAAAAATCAGCGGGTCGTTGCTGCTCACCTGAGCATCTTTTCAGTATGCTCTATTCATCGTTGAATCTGTTTTTAACATAGGTCAATTACTTTGTAACTAGAATCAGACTAACCGCTTATTTTCAGTCAAGTAAGAACTATACATACCGTGATATTTTTAGTCTCTGAGTTCATATTATCGACCTATGACAGAGGTCATTACACGAAAATATATTGAACTAACCACAACTGAGCCATTTTCTCCACCCCATAATCAGTCAAAACGAGTCTCATGTGTCAATTGATTCAAATGGATTTTTGGAGATCCATTCTCTTTTTTCAAGTTCTGATTATTTTCGTACACACCTGTCCACTACGTCTTTTCGAACCGTATTGCCAATACTCAGTCTTTCTCCTTATCATTACTATTACATTATTTCTCTTTCTGTATTTGTCTTGGTGTTTTTATCTTATCGCGCCAAAGTGGTGTGGCGAGTTTGGCCGACCCAAATTTAGTATCTGGCTTTACGTTGATAATGACTTACCTGGTTCTGGTAATAGATTAGTTGACATTTTCTGTCCCATATAAGGATTTCAAATGATGGGGCACTTTACGAATGATATATTTGTCCATGTTATTACCGTTTCCGTAATAAACCCTTTGTATTTTATTAGTATTTCTTGCAGTACTGTTTTTTCACGTAAAATACACTACTATTGTCATTTTATGAATGAAAAAATATCATTGTGCTTCTCACACAGTGATCACATCTCATAACGATGATGTTTTCAAAACCACTTATCCTTTGGTTTCCAATGTTTTATACGTCTAGTAGCACTTTTCAGTAACAAGTTATGTGCAAGCTGAAAGATTTATATATTTAAGGTGTGAGCTTAACTTTTAAAGCACTTGATTTTTGGCTTTTAGGTTTCATGACAAAGCTTTTAATTTAGGGAGCCTTATGATATATTTGGCTATCACAGAAAGGGTTTAGTCTAAAGGCGATTATGTTAAACTTGGTTACTAAATCTTACTTTTTTTTAAATTTATTTGTAATTTTCAGCTAGGAACTCGTAATTATGTCTATATTTCATATTACAATGTAAAATAATCAAAATATTCAATAATTATCGAGGCACTGTTTCTATGTAAAAGCTGACCTTGGTCTTATAAATATTTTCTAAATAAGGATTTATTTCATTTTCAAAATTGTTTGAAACTTTTACTGTTGTTTTGGAGATTTTAATCGTCGACATTATATTTTGTTCCATTTCATTATAGATTCTAAAGCATAAAAAAACTCATCTAACCAATCGTATGCAATTAGTAACAATGATTGAATTTGGTCCACGGGTTGTGATTAATTGTGCTGGTTTCATCAAAATTGATACTTCATCGGTACGTGATTTAGATGCAGATGATGTAGATTTACTGGATTCTACTAGAGTGCATCCTGAAAGTTATGATTTAGCGAAAAAAATGGCTGTCGATGCTCTGGAATATGATGATACTGAGGAATGTGATCCAACAGTTGCGTTGGAAGAGATAGTACACAGGTACATATTTTTTACTCAAATTGTAAAATGTTTACTTCTTTGGATAATAGTACTACTCTAATACCATTAGCTTGACCATCATATTTAATGTTAGTTGATCCTAAAAACAAACAAAGCATTGATTCTTATTTCATTGACTTTTTCCACGCTCATTTGTGTTGTACGACCAAGTTTAACTTCAATTCGCCAGATCACTATACGAATTCGCAATTTTCTGTATTAAAATGGGTTTAATTTCAATATAAGTTGTTGATTCAAAGCTGTTAGTAAATTCAGCTTTAGTATTGAGTCGCTATTTAATAATAAAGTCTTTCTTCTGATTAGTGTTTAGGGATTTAGTGAATTGCTTTTTCACTTACTTTCGATATGATTCTTACTTAATGAATGGATATATATATTCATAAGTTCTACAAAACGCATGAGTTTTGATATACTGACTTGATTTTCTATCCACATTTCACTAATGGGAATGTTAGATCTTAAAGAAATCTCTTATTCGCTTATTATTTCGTCATTTTTGTCTTGTAAGTCTAAATTTCTGTTTTTTCACTGCAAGACCTCCTGTAGACTGACGTTACTTTAGATATTTGCTATGATAATACCCGTTATAATGTAGTTCAACATGCTGGATAAAATTAGAAAAATGATCGAAATTATTGTGTATGATGTACGTGCTGAACATTGGTGGTAACCTCAACCTCCCATTGAAGCTATTCTTTATTTTTAAAGATGCTATTTCCTTGTTGGTCTGTGGCTCTTTTAGTCTCCTAAATCTTTCTCCAATTTCCGTTGTACATGTATTTATACATCTGTGTTGCTTACCTGAAAATCAGTCTTCTTTGGTTTGTCCCAATAAACCTACTTTATGAGATTTGTCTTCTGGTGTAACGGTGGCTAGAAGGAAAAGAGGAATTGTAGTATCCAGGTACCAAAAGACGCCACGAGTTTTTGACGTTATTTCAAGGCATATCAGTCATGCATATTTATTAGCTTTTGTTTGCCAATGGGTAGCAGTATAACTATTTTAATCAATATAGCATTGATACATTGATTGTTTAGCTTCTAATTATCAAACATACAAAGGTAAGATGTTTATTTTTATGATACAAGGATATTGAATGTCTGCTTAGCACTCATTAGTTCACTAATAAAAAAATAAATTTCTGCACACAAAACATACAACATACACGTGTTCTGGAAGATGCACGTCGTTTCAGAAAAACTGCTTCAGTATTCGTATTTGGTGGTAGCATACAATTTTCAACCAGGTAGTGACTCGAAAACGTTTAGATAGAACGGAGTTTTTACCATAGTAATGCAGAGGTTCGGCATCGTGTGTTCGGGCACAGAGATGATAATGCAATTGGTGTCACCATCTTGAAACACCGACTTCGATGGCTTGGACATGTTCTACGAGTGTCGTCCCAGAGAATTCCACGTTGTGCATTATTTGCCGACGCTGGGACTGATTGGACAAAGTGGAGAGGTGGTTAGTGTATGACATGGTGTCGTGGTATGAAAGAAAGCTGCAAAGGGTTGGCCTGTGTTGGTTATTCATGACTCTCTGACTGGGGTCCGAGAGATGGTGCAACACAGTGGCTAGAGACGTTATGAGATATGGCTCAGAATAGAAGCCAGTGGCGATCCTGCTGTAACCTTCTTTTACTTTCTTCATAAAAAGTGGTTGTTTCTTCCTTAACTGAAGGATTTCTTCTGATTTTACTTTTCTGTTTCCCTCATCATTACTATTATTATTAGTTTTATCACTATTGCACTACCTTACACTAATCTGTTCGTTATTGTTCTTTTTTTTCCTTTTTTCTCTCCGGATTCTCATTTTGTGTGGCACATATATATTTGGTGCCCTCTTGTACCAATATTTATGTGTTCAAATAAAATAATAAGATAAAAATAAATATAGAAGATGAAGCAATCCTCAAGTCAGTGTTATGTGCTTTGATATTATCGTTCGGCTCTTGACTTTTCATTTCTAATTATATTTATCATGTTTTAACGTATTTCTTGGTTCATGAAAATATGTCATTTTTATTGTTTCCACTGTCAATCTAGCATAGTCTCCATCATTTGTGTTAAACAATTTATTTACCGATTTGGTTGTGCAGTTTTCTTATATTTCTATTGCATTTCAGCCCTGCACGTTTACGTGAACTTGATTTAGATGCTTTCGCAGAAGAATTAAAACGACAAGAACATGGAGATAAACATATCACCTTGTATGATATTCGAAAAGAATTGAATAATCGTTATCGAGACTATCGAGAAGCATATCAATCTGCTAATCCAGAAAGTATTTTCAGTATGGTCACACATGAGACACCTGAAACTTTACATGTTGGTCGTTTAGTTGAATGTCGTGTGTTATCTGTTGCTACTAGACGACCACGGCCTGAACAATTAGACAATGCAAATCCAACTAAAAATGAAATTAATGGTTTATGGATGTGCCCATTTTGTCAACAAGATAACTTCCAACTACTCAATCACGTAATGTTTTCAATCAAATTTTTACTTATATGTGTACTTAACTTAAGATATTTTCATTACATATCAGTTTGATTTGTACAATTTCTTAGTCGTTGGTTTTGTTATTTATTTTTTAGGTTTGGAGTCATTTTGATAATAATGAATGTCCTGGGCAACCAGTTGGATTAAGAGTTCAACTAGACAATGGAATTGATGGATTTATACCATTAAAGTTTATGGATTCCCCAGATAAATTATTTGAACGAACTCAACCGGGTTCTCTTGTACAATGTCGGGTAACTAAAATCGACATAACAAGATTTAATGTGGAGCTCACTTGCAAGTCAACGGAATTGAAGGTATATTTCAGCGAATATTTAAGTGTTGGATTTCTCAGGTAGTATTAAAATATGTTTATGTTCCAGATAAAAGCATTTTTTACTAAAATAGTTTTTGCAAAATCCTACATTTTTATGGTTTAATAAGGTTTTCCTCAAAAATTACTTCAATTTGTTTCCTATTTTTATAGGATGAACGTCATATATGGCGTCCACGTCAAGATGCTTTTTATGATTTTGAAAAAGAAGAAAAAGATCTACGTTCTGAAGCGGAGGCAATGGCTAAAGCTAAGGCTAAAACTAATCCATACATGTCTCGTTTGATATTTCATCCATATTTTAAAAATATTAGCTATGATCAGTTGGCTGCAATGGAGCCGGAATTAGAGCCTGGTGCAATTATTATTCGTCCAAGTAGAAAGGTAGATGATAGTAATGTATTACTTTACTCTCGATTTCGTAAATCTAAAGTTTTTATATTTGCAATAAGTGAATAGGGTGAATAAAGACCTACTTATTTCCATGCATGATGGAATTTCAAGTGGTTGAGTTTGTACTATCCCCGGAAGTAGTGTCTCTCTTACCGTCGGTAAATCACAATTAGTAAAATATGTACTCTAAAATATGATTACTTAATGCACACCGATTTTCTGGGATGATCAAGTTGGTACTACAATAACGAAGTGCATGGAACGGATAGAGTGAGGTTGTGAGTAACCAACGGTAATTTCTTTGGGGAGGGGTTTGTAGTTTAGTTGCAGTAAAACGTCAAATATCAGTGTAAAAGGATATTTTGTTAAAGGCTTAATCCTAACAATAATGTGCATATAATGTCTCTACAATTTAACCAGTGAACTGTTACATAATATCGATTGTGGCGAATCGTTCCAGATCCCAGGATGTTTACTTGTAAACTAATTTAAATGAGTGGATTTCTGATGGGAAAATCTACACTTTTGATATTGAGTTACGATTACTGTAACTTGAGGATTTTGGGAATTAGATTGTATTATTGAGTGCAGAAGATAATTTATTTTAATATATTGAATAAAAAGAGATTAGATTTAGTTAAAGTACCGCTTCCGAAAATTGTTAAGTTCTAGCTTATTACATCTGGATTTGTAGTTTAAGGTACAGTTACTCCTAAGAATACGAAGCGTAAAGCTTATCTTTAGTAGGAACACTACTCACAATAAAAGTACAGTATTCTAGTAGGAGTCAAATACATCCTTTCTACAATAAAATACATAAGGTATTTTTGTAAAGTTTACGTCAAGTTCAATCTAGAAGTCGATACAACGTTTGCGTTATCTATTTTAAGGAGAATACATTGTGGGAATATCTGGGTCTAAAATTGAGATTAGGATCCATCCACGTATACAAACGCTGTCCTAGATCCCATTTCGTATACATAAGGCAATCTTTAACCATAAATTACTTACCAAGTTTAAACTAGCGTACCAAACATTAATCCACACGTACTTTGTGAACTACAGTGATGCCAATACCGGTGTACATGTATCGATGTATTGAGTTTATAATTGTAATAATAATTAAGAATCGTATGCTTAAATCACTAAAATTTAGGGCTCTGAAGATAATCATGTTCGTAATATCTACACTAAGATTCAAACTAGTTTATAAAATAAATTAAAAATCGTCAATTATCACGACATTGAGTCGGAAAGACTTTTTTATTACAGTCATTTATGCATCTATCCACATATAGCAGCTCTATACAGGAAGTTTTCTTCAATTAGAAGGACATATGTAAGTGATTAAAGGATTTAAAGTTGTTTGCTGTCTTTGTTATACATCTATCACAATATGTACACTTCACCATTTGTAGGGAACGGATCATCTGACTGTAAGCTGGAAGATAGATGACGGAATTATGCAACATATTGATGTTTCCGAAAAGGAAAAATCGAATAGTTTTTCATTGGGAAAACTTTTAATTATTGGTGATGAAGAATTTGAAGACTTAGATGAAATTGTGGCACGTCATGTGCAACCCATGGCGTCTCTTGTTCGTGATGTAATGACCTACAAATATTACCGTGATTCTTCGGTAAGTTGGTTTCGCTAATATTTTACTTATTAGGAAGTGCATATGTATTCCAATAATTTCTTGCAAAGGCTTGTTTATTTAACTATTCGAAACGCAAAAGGCATTTCACAGCTTCTTTGTCTTGGTCTGATTTTTCTTAACAATGCGCATCCATCATCGTATGTTGTTTTGAATTTAAGGCTTATGTGAGTGACAACAAATGTGATATCATTTAATTACAGACGTAATCAAACAGCCCTCGTTTTCTACCCTCAGTCAATTCGCAACATTAATATCTACTGTAATGAGTGCGGATCTGTCTCATTATCATATATATATATATATATATATATATATATATATATATATATATATATGACTATCGTAGCCACTGGTTGGAGACTTAGTGATATGGCTCAGAATCGATCACAATGGCGTAAGTGTATATACTCTCCGTATTCCCTTAAACTAAAAGATTATAATCGCTTCTTATCTTTCTTTCTACGAATTAATTCTTTCTTCCTGTACTATAACCTTATATGCAATCTTTCTTTTATATATTATCACCTCTGAATTAACTACTTTTATGAATCCGGTGTTCATCTTGTTGTGTTAATCAGGTATGGCAACTTGGACCGATGCATATATGTGCCTGGTCCTACGTTGTAGCTGACTGATATATATATATATATATATATATATATATATATATATATATATATCATTAGAATATCCACAAAAATACCGCGTTAGTCTTTTGCACCCTACTGTATTTGTAGTAAAGCTATCTTATTCTTCAATATACATTCTATTAACTATCACTTTATTTTATGACGAACTGTTAAAATACAATTTCTTCTCATTTACTATTATGGGTTATTCTATTGAGAATTTGTGTTTAAAAAATTATTTATCAGAGTTGGTTGTTAAATATATTTACGGTGATCAACTTTCAGTTTCCAGCGATATACTCATTTGTTTTGGATATATTTATTGTCCTGTCCATATGATAACCAAATTTCATCGTGGATAATTGGTGAACGTAAAAAATCGGAGATAACGAGATTTCGCATTATGTAAACTTATATGAATAGCTTTAATGGTTTTTCCGTTATAAAACTAAAATTCACTCCATTGAGCAAATTGTATCATTAGGATTCGTCACTTAACCTTAGCCCCACAAATTCAGGAGCCATTTACACGGTTGTGTTCAATTCTGTGGTTATGGATTGACTGGTTTGGTTACTAGACTTGTGACTTATTATATTTACCTTGAAGTTATCGGTTGTATGTAGTCATTGCTCAACCTGTGGCGAGACCGATTTCAGGGTAAATAAAATCTTGTTTAGTGTTTTTTCATTAATATGAAGCTTATATAATTAGCTTATTTAAAATTAAAAATTTTTTGCATGAATTTATTTTTAGGTTTTTGTAACTTGCACAGTATATCTACCTTAACATTTTGCCTATTCATATATTCTGTTTATTTTATTCTCAGGGTGGTGATCGTGCTCACCTAAATGCTTTACTTCAACATGAAAAGAGCCTTAATCCGGATCGCATTCCTTATTTTTTGAGTTCAACAAAAGAACGTCCCGGTTATTTCATTCTTGCGTATTTACCCAATAAGAATCCACATTTTGAATTATTTAGCATACGACCCGAAGGTTTCAAGTTTCGCCAGTTAATATTCCCAACTCTCGACCGAATGATTACTTGGTTCAAAGAGCACTATAATGACGCTGTAAATTACTATCGCGGTTGAATCGGTCTATTCTCAGGATACTTTGTTTCTAGTCTACATTTCTTTATTGCTGAATTCAGTTTCACATAAATATTAATTTTTATCAAAATCCCACTTAAAGCTTGACCTATTTCGACTTTTAGTTTTTATTACGAAATATTAACACTTGTAAATATCCCTAAGTAATGTTCACAACTTTCCACAATGTTACCGTATTGTTTTTTCGTATATGTACAACTGAATTAAAATGAGTACAAAGAAATTAAATAGACGAAGTTGAATTTATATATTTTGATACAAGATGTACAACTAACAAATATTCGTATTTTCCCTTAGAACTGTTAAACGTTAACTGATTACCAGAATATTAAATATCACTGTAAACTACCTTGTTTCATGAAGACTAGGTGTCCTTATCATCAAATGTCGATAATTGTATTACGAAGTCGCGATACATAATTTTCCCTTTTGATAAATCCGTTGCGGCTGCGAGCATCTCCTCTATTTCCTCTTTTGTAAATGGTTCTCCTAAAAATACATATTACGATAACATTATCTTTACCTGAAGAAACCATATAAGATTCCAAAGCGTCAGCACTTAGGAATCCTTTCTTCTCTGAGTCGAGGATTAAGAAGGCTTTCAATAAATCTTCTTCAGGTGCAGGTTCGAATCTGTAAGCGGTTCAACATACCAGTCATTTGTTACTTTACCTTTTCTGTTCCATTGCTTGCATCATCACTGGGAGGAATTTGTCATAATTAATATAACCATTTGGTGGGTCGTTTTCTAACTTTCATTTTAGCATTCTTTGTAGCTCGGAAACTAACCTCACGAACAAGTGATATCACTTCTGCTTCAGTTGGAACACCACCTAGTGCTCTTATTACTGTCCCGAGTTCTCTAAAATCTATTGTTTTGTTACGTTCGTGGTCAAATAGATCAAAAATCTCTCTTATTCTCGCCTCCAAATCATCTAAAATCGGGGGTTTTAGATTGTGGTGATGAATATAATATTAAATTGCTTACCTCTGAACAATTCCGATCTCTGTTTAAAACAATGACATAAATGTTATCACGTTAAAGTTGTAAAAGTTCAACAGTGAGACAAAGACGATTTCGGTCCTATCGATAAACTTGTAAACCAGGAACAACAAATAATATGCAATCTAATAGATCCTTTTTATACTGTGACCTAAATCTTTTGTATGCCCATCGATCCTACAGACAAATCTTCATAAAGTATTTCAGATCAGCGAAAGAACGAATTGTAAGTAATTTGCACAACCATATAACTCCGACAAGATGTAGTCAATCTTTAGGTGCAAATCTAGACTAATCTGACTGTTCCTTAGTGTGATAATGAATAATTGCCCCAGGTGTGACTTGTTTCGGTGTTATCGTATGTACCATGACTATTCATAAACCATTGCCTTTAGGATATATGCAGATTACAAATATTCAATCTTGTATCTCTGACGCTTTTCTCACGTTTGATGGGACTGTCTCACTAACAACGCTGATACCAAAAAAATGCCTAAATAATGAAGTCAAAGCGATCGTTGGGTTTTTTTAAAACTAGGGTTGATGGAATCATATGATCAACCCACCAAATCACCTACTCAATTAGGTTATGTTAACTGATGTAGAACCAAGAATGGCCAAATCGAGAAAAGACAACATTCCATGTACTTGTTGATTCTGGGGTTAAGTTATTCATAAAGACATGGGTCATCTAGCTGGAATCCTTTAGGTAGCAAGATAAGTTGTAGATTTTAAATATGCGATAGAAAATATAAGTATTACTGTCGGTCAATGCAAAATGCTACAGTTACCGTTTCGATCCCACATACTCGTTAGGAGAAAATGTTGAAATGAGTCATGAACTTGTAGACACTTTGTAACTAGTGCACAACAGCCTCAGTTGTTAACGGTGTTCACTCTATAAAGTAGTGGCCAAAGGTATTACTCAAAAAGATAATGAAAGTTCTATAATTGCACCATCTGTTTCGAAGATCTTAACGTGTTTGAAATACATCAACTTTTCGGATACACTTATGTATATACAGAGATAGAGACTTATTGTTCAATCTCCTTGAAAACTATGCTTAAATAAGCTTTAAAGCTTGATGGTCTGCAGAGCAAATAATCTATTCCCCAAAATCCAAATCTGGGTCTCTTTTCACTATGGAAAGGCACAACTTTGTTATGTTTTTTCGAGTCTGAAGGGTAAAAGCACTAGTTATCAATGGAAGTAACGATAGCACCTATTGTTGTTTCAGACTGAAATTCTACGACCTAATGTTTATAACCATCAAAACATTCATACAATTTTCTCTGCATGTGCTTTTGAATTTCATTGCAAAACAACATCTAAGGTGTGGATTAGAACAGAATCGTATAAACGTTCTTTTCGAGAGAAGAGGATTCTGAAAGAGGTACCCAAGCTGCCAACTTTGGGAAAAATTTGGTCCAGTTTGGGGAAATGATAAGAAATTTCCCCAAAGCTAGCTGGCAGCTTGGGTAATCAAACGCATCTCAGATTGCAAATTTAGATAGTCGAAGAGAGCTGGAAAAGGTTTGATGTTTTGTTAAGGCATCTTTCTAGTTGCTATTCTTTGGATTTATTCTAAGAGAGATATTATATTTACGGCAGGGGGACACAATAGGAGGTCCTCACCAGATGAGGTCTTAATTAAACAGTAAAAGCGGTTCCGAATAGTTATAAATAAATATATGCCAGCTCAGAGTATGATATTTTACACAGATGTCGAAAAATTATGTTTCGTACTATTCTGAATATTGTCATGAGTTTCCGGTTGTTCCATTATTTAAAAAGACGGCAATTTGTTTCCTTATGGTAACGGTACATTGATTCAAAAATAGTGTAGATAGTTCAACAAGCTTTTGTGACGAATCAGTCCAAACAAGTTGACTCATTAACTACCGTTACTGAATGTAAAGATAAGAGTTGAATATTTATTAACCTTGTCCATAATGATGTCAATGTATCCACTCAGCCTCAATAAATTCCAAGACTTCGATATATATTTGCAGACTCATGAACTTTCAAATTCTAAACTGAATGTGTTATAGCATGCCGCATAAAAGCGAGCCGATCTAGGTATCAGTACGAAAGTGGATATTAACTAGTGTCAACCATACGCGCTATTTAAAATGGACAGCAGTATTTTTCCTCATTGAGTAAATTTTGTTATGATCGTTTGTTACGTATCAAGACTACTGTCTACCACTTAACTGAATTAATTCCAGTCAAAATATCCTTTTTGTTTCCGAAGTAATTTATCGTCAGTATTTTTGAGTACTTTGTTTCTGTTGTATTTGATTAACAATTTTGGTTCTGACAACTTACAGTTTTCCACTTTCTTGGTCGTGATTTACCTTTGTCTCTGGGTCTTATTGTATATGGTTTGCTTTTGAAAACCTCTGTTTAGTGGCTTGGCAGTGCAAGAAAGGTAGTTGCCAATGTCCGGGTCGTCGATACCCGGTGCAGTGTGTTGAGTGCAAAGGACGGTACCACGAAGTTTGCACGAATCTGACTCCTTCAGATTTCAAACGATTTAGTAAGACTGGCGGAGTGTGGTTTTGTCAGCAGTTCTGCTCGAATGCAAACAGCTTGTTAACTGAGGCCATTTCATAGGTAAGTGCTGCTAAAAAGTGTATTAGCAAAAGAGGTCAAGACACTTCGGACGTTACTCGCTCCGTCGACGTGAAAATCGACTTGAAGTCATCTCGAGTGAGCTCTGTAACAGCTGACTCACATCGGTCAAAGTAGCAAAGGCCAACATGAAACAGTTCTTGCCACAATGAAAACCCAAGAAAGGAAGTTTCTTCTGTCCTCTTCCCCTAAATAGTAGCCGACAGAAATCTCAACCGTAAGGCTAGATCTTTTTCTATCAGGGAAAACAACCTGACAGTACAAGTCGTCGATAAACTATCGGAATCTCGCAGTGTGTTTGATGCGACAGTAGTTGCTATGTCAAGGAAAGTTGATGAACGGGGAAAGCACAAAAAAATCTAACCCCCTATAAAGTAGCCAAGAAATAAAAAATTGATCACAGTGACAAGTCAGTCATCCTTTACAAAATCAAGAAAAGTAAAATCTGAGAACCTTGAACTCATGTTGAGCATGATATTGGGTTTATAAAACATACCAAATCAGCCAATGCCTCAGAATATCACCGGAATCACTTTGCTAAATGTGTGTAGACTAGGTGGCCAAACGAACAGGACACAAAATCAAACAAGAATGCTTAAAGTAGTATTTAAATATCCTAAGTAAAGCACTTAATATTACAGAATGGACATAATCTAAAATCAGAAGATTTTGTCCGCAAGGATTTGCCGCTCGCAGACCGTGTAAGAAGACGAGAAGCCGAGAAACATGGTTGAAATCCTGGTGAAAAGGACCTGAAAGTCGCAAATTTTCATGTTGTGAGGCTTCGACAAAGAATGTTCCCAAAGCCACTATGGTGCAAAAGGAAGCCAATTAAATAGGCTTCGGATCTGTTACGGAAATGCATTAAGCGGTCAGAACTAGGTGTACAGGTTGACTCCAAAACGGCAGACATAATTGCAGTAACGGTTTTCAGTAATTTCTGAAAAGTCTGTAGAATTACAGTCTACTTCGTTATTAGTAATTCTATGATAATAGATCTAACCCCACAATTTTAGTTTTATCATGATGTAACTGCCTAATATATAAGATCTTACGTCGAAGTCACATTATTGTCTACATTGACTCATCGTATCGTAACAATCACCAATATATGACGGAGAACATATTTAGGCTGGAGATAGAACAATATATTTTATATGAGTAAAAGTAAGTTGTACAGAGCGACCATGCCTGCGAGACTGGGCCATATCACCTGAATAATTAATTCAACCTTCTCGTTTTCTCTATCGTCGCTGTTTTTCTCCATGTTAAAGGTTGAATGTTTGTTTCCTTTATTGTTTGCTGTTGAGACCCAATGCCACCACGAGTCTGCATGCTTCGTGAAACCATTCTTTACTTTTTTTGCACTGCATACCACAGGTGATAGCCAAACGGAGAAAGGTTGCATTCAAGTGTTCTTATGGCACATGGTGAAATATAAGTCGTTAAAAGAGTCCTATCAAAAGTTTACAACGGTGAAAAAGAAACTTCCTGAAACAGATAAAATTGATAAAAGCGGGTTGCAAAAAGTTCGAAAATAGTGAAACTGTCCTCGATATGAAAGACCTGAAAAACAAAGTAGCAAACTGAGACGAACCACACTTAAGTTCTAAAAGAAAAGTAATTTGCCGGACGTTAATAACGGAGCAGATTTTCTGAAAGAAAAATAATGCTTTTGTTGCATAAAGAAAGTGCAAAATTTAGGTTAATACTTTTCGTTAGTAAAGTGCGCATTTTTCTAATATTTTCGCAATGTTATTTTGGGGGTAGAATGTTCATATTTAAGTGACTAGGGGTGCTTAAAAGGTTGCAGACCACTATCAGATCGCTTTGTGCTCCCATGTAAGTCAGCAGAAGCAATCCAGGCTGTCGAAGTTGGTCTTCATTCAGGTTGTTGCTAGATTTTTTGACGTACTTTGCAGTGCATCTCAATAGGGATCCCAGGAGATTCATAAAATCTCTGAGCGGGGGAACTGATATTACACTGTGGGTATCCTATCAAGAGTGAGTTTTGGTCTTTAACAATGTCAGACAGAGCTTCATTGTCAATGTCCGGAGCTGCCTTTTGATTAAATGAATAGTTTTCTAGCTACACAGCCCTGCTAACGTGTCTTGGTTTACAGGCACTGACAGCAATAGATATCGATCCCATTCAATCGAAAATTTGAAAGGGCAGCGACTGCAGAGGAATTAGCCAGCCCGAGACGTTCTCTGTTGTCCATTTTTCTAGCAGTGTTAGGTTTCTTTGGAGCTCATCCGAATCAGCCTCAGTTCTGACTAGTTTCTACATTAGATGTCATCCGTGTAAACATTATATGGGGATCTAAGTTTAACTAGATGATCACTGATGAATTCTGTGCGCTAAACACATAATAATGTTTATCTATGTTTTGTCCCACAATCAGAAACACAAAAAGATTTTAACATTATTTTTGACGCCAATCTGCTTGATTTTAGTCAACACAACAGAGTGTAGCATCGTGACAAATGCTTGTCAAAGTTCGAGAGATGACTACTGATTGTCACATCTTCAATATCTGAATTAAGTCCAATTACTGTAGAGTCAGGTCACTTGTTGGAAAAGAAAGAGCTATGGTTCATCGTCTAAATACGACGAGATGTATTTAATCAATACCTGTTACTTACTGAAGGTGATTTCCAGGAAATGTTTTAGTACTTACTGCAGTGTTACATGTTTGGCGCACCTTGTTATTGCCGTCAAAATATCTAATTGTCCATTGTGGCTCTGCACATGATGTCATTGTGTGCCGTCATGTATGTCGAAAACTTCGATAATTCCAAGGTCAGCAACGGTTTTGTCTCAAAGTCTCATAGTGGAAGAAACTCCATGATGTGTGTTTTTTCTTTATGTAAAAATCAATACAGATTCTCCTGGCTAAATTACGACTTCATAGCCAAGTTTATTTCGAAAGATCTATTATCTCGCTTTACCTTCATGTTGAATGTATTTCTTAATACCATGCACAGTTTACAGTTGGTGTCCTTGAGTGAGACTCGCCATCTATTTTAGTCACTTCGATTTGGCTAGTTTTGTTCAGAATTTTCCCGCAGCTGGATTGTGCAGATTTTGTGCAACGTTTTCCCACATGACAACGTGAACGTGATCTTTACAGTGTTTCAGTGTTTGTCAGTCGAAATTATTGGTCATTGTTGGAGCAAGTGAGAGTACATTCTGAAATGGCTTTGTAAATTCTTCAGGGGTTGCGGGAGATAAAGCATTCTTTTCTCTTCGGAGGATTATATTTGTGATCAGATTAACTGTAACCGTGCTGCAGTTACTGGAACCTGTTGGTGCTTTGTCATGCATATCCTCAACAAGAAACACATGACGGCAATTTGTCTTATCTAATTGTTTTCTTTATTTCCACATCTTTTACAGGCGTTCGCATATTCAATGAGTCTTAAGTTTTCCATAGTTTCAACTCATTGTCCACTTAGGAATTTATTTAATTTATATAATCAGCTGTTAGAATGAGTGGCTCTTCCGATTCTCTAAATACCTGTATTCGTGTTACTGAGCATGTACGTTTTAATGTTAAGTATGTTTTTCAAGAGGTAAGTAGTAACAAATTTCAGGTTACAATTATGCGAAAGTTTTATTTAGTTGGAACCGTGATGACCATGATTATGTGGTTACCCAAAAGTTTATTCGTTCGTCATGAAGTCATGGACAAGTGTTGAAAGGAGTTTTGTAGATGCGCAGTACCTGAAAAGCGAATGAAACCTCGAACTATCAAAATAGCTTACAGGATATCATTAGTCAGAAAGAATCATGGACGAAGTTTAAATGACACCAGTTTTATTCAGTAGCTTTAAAAATGGACAATCGCAAAAGCTCTAATGACTAAATAGTCAAGAGAAAAATTCGTGTTATTACTCATTCGTTTGCTTTCCTTTCTTGGAATGAGTTAAGAATATAAAGTGCCTGAAACTTGACCAATAGTTCTCAGACAGAAAGTCTCCGAGGTTGATGATATTTCTCTCATATCTATTCACGAAGAGTGTCCATACTTTCCTATATATAAAAATACCAACACACCATACATTCGTTGCAGCTCGTTCCGTGTTTTTTAGGCTTATCACTTTGGCGGTTCTTTTAACATTGTGTTGCCATGGCATCGTCTAGTATTTTAGTTGAGACTGGTTCTGTGGTTAGTTTCTGTATTATGTATGTTTTTGATGCGTCATCGTACAAGTAAATTGGTTTTCATTCATCGGCTGTTATTAATAAACCTGCTAAATGCTTTGCTAAGTGCTGAGCTTATGTCCGTATAGGAACTGATAGCTGTAGAAAAACTGGTCAGTTTTAATGGTGAGACCATAATTTATGAACGACTTTTGAAAAACGCTAAAGTGGCCTTGAGAATGTCTATTCACTGATTATGGTTAAATGAGGGTTTCAAACGTTTATGAAGCATAAGGACTGTTTTACTGTTGATTGTTAGAGATGAAGATTAGATTTAGGGTTTTCATCACGAATTGACACCAGCTAACATGCCAACACGCTATTTAGCCAAATGGATCAGGAATTTCGCGCCGAAATCCAAGACCTGTTATCATAAATCTGGTTGGCTTGTTCTTTAGCTATGGCTTCGTCGTTCTAATATTTGTTAACTGTAGGAAAACTGTTTAACATGGGTCATTCTTCCTTCTTGTCTTTTAAAATCGTCTGTTATGTCCTAAATGTTATGATACAGTAGTACTGAGCAATGTCTTAGGTTCAAAACCACTTAATATTTTGCCGATCAACATCTGATCGACTCCTATGGTAAGATGGCGGAGGCTTAACTTCCTCAGCTACCCTTTGTATGGTAGGCTTTGTAATTCTAGAGTTATATGGGTAGTTTTTCTCTGTACTTTTGCAAGACATCCGAGTCATCTCTTAAACAGGTTTGCAGCCTGAACACATTTTTAAAGTTTGGATATCACTAAGGTTGTCTATTCTTGGGACTTGGAAAATGCTCGCCCCAATGTTCATGGGATTCTGAACCCCATGGCTTCAATCTCGCAGTAATAGTTTGTAGTCTTGATATCTTAGGTTAATATTACCCCTAACTTGTCATGAGACAGGACTAAGAGCACAGAAAGTTCCCTAATGCTGTAGCTATTTACCGTTGTATCTCCAGTGTACATGTAGACACACAGCTGCATTGTTAGGCATCAACCACAATTTAGACCAGTTAGCCATAGTGCACTTGCATCTACATCTTTTTTTTTGCTTCACGCCAGATTTTAATGTCAGCGTAAAGTAGCATTGGGCTGTCCACTATCTACGTTTGTGTTTTATTTCATCATAGACCTACTACTGGAAACAACGTTCTCGTTGACTGAATTTTCGGTAATTGATCTACCAGGAAGTCGACCTACTGACTTAGAATATGGAGATAACATAGTCCTGTTTAGTTAAGACGCTGATAAAATGCAGTTTTTTGATAACACTGAGTCAGTCAGTCAGCTACAACGTAGGACCAGGCACATATATGCATCGGTCCAAGTTGCCATACCTGATTAACACAACAAGATGAACACCGGATTCATAAAAGTAGTTAATTCAGAGGTGATAATATATAAAAGAAAGATTGCATATAAGGTTATAGTACAGGAAGAAAGAATTAATTCGTAGAAAGAAAGATAAGAAGCGATTATAATCTTTTAGTTTAAGGGAATACGGAGAGTATATACACTTACGCCATTGTGATCGATTCTGAGCCATGTCACCAAGTCTCCGACCCCTCCTTACGATGTTCACGCGGACCCCAACCACGTAGTCTGCATCTAACGACATGGCTCAGACTAAAAGTTAGTGACTCCAAGCACTGATGTCACGTTTTGGTTTGGCCACCTCTAACTTTCTTCTAACCATCCGCAACATCGGTTAGCATTGCACGTCGTGATAATCGGTGTTCAGGCATACGTAACATGTGGCCGAATCACTGAGCAACAATGCCGGGATGTTTGAGATGTGTTTCTCCCTCTTGAGATGCAAGTTGCTGCTTCAGGACTGATCTGCGTCAACACCTGAACTAATGATAGGGAGTGAAGTAGTCGAACGCGTCGACAACATTACTTATCTTGGGAGTCTGGTCAGCCCTAATGGGTTTGGTGTCTGACGAAATCTCTGCACGCTTTTGAAAGGCTAGTTTGGCTTTGGCCAACTTACGTTACCTGTAGCGAAGGTGAGATATCCACCCATCAGTTTGTTCTGTTCTACTTTACGGCTGCGAAACGTGGCCATTAAGAGTAGAAGATACACGTAAATCGATAGTATTTGATCATAGATGTCTTAGAAATATTGCTGACATCTGGGATCACCGGGTGGGTAATGGTGATGTTAGATACAGGGTATTAAGGAATGATAATAAGTCCGTTGATAAAATTGTGAATCTACATCGACTGAGATGGTTGGAGCACGTATTATGCATACCCAACCACCGGTTACCATGACGTGCAATGGTGACTAGTGTTGGAGATGGTCGGAAGAAAGTTAGGGCTGGCCAAACCAAAACATGGGATCAGTGCTTGAAGTCACTAACTTCTAGTCTGATCCATGTCGGTAGATGCAGACTACTTGGTTGGTGTCCACGTGTTTATCGTAGGGAGTGGTTGGAGACTGAATGACATGGCTTAGAATTGATCACAATGGTGTAGGTGTATACTCTTTGTCTTCCCTTAAACTGTAAGAATACTTCATACCTTTCTTTCTATGAACTAATTCTTTCTCCCTGTGTCATATTCTTATATGCAATCTTTTATATATTTCTACCATTGAGGTAACTGCCTCGATTTATTTAGTGTTCTTGCTGTGTTAATGAGGTATGGTAACTTGGACCGATGCATTAACGTTGTAGCTGAAAGTACTGGTATATATATATACCAGTTATAACAGAATACCTAATCCTCGTAATTCATACAAAGATCCGGCTTATAAACATTTTATAACGAGAGATTATTCATGAAACGCTGATCCATCTACCTACAACAAATTCAGGAGTCTTTTAAAGATGATTGCCAAATGCGTTTTTTAAATTATTCGTTGTACATATTACCTCGTTGAAACAGTGTGTAATATGGTTTGTAGAGTTTCTTGAATCTAAGAGGCATCACGCTTACTGGCCAGAAGATCATACAGAATTTTTTACTTCATTTAAAGAGATACTGGATAAAAAATAGTCATATTCTCTAGTAAAAATGTTGTGAAGGACCTAATTCACTGTGTTAATTTCTTCTGAAATTACTTTTGTCAAATTTTAGTTCTGTTTAGTTTCCAGTCATATTTAGTGATACTTTTTATTGTCTCATTCTGAGTTTTTAGCTGCTGGTTCGCTCTCAAAACAGACCTTATATCGATTCATTGCTGTTTGATTATTTTCCAAACCAATATGTCCCTCAAAGTGGGAAATCGTTGGTTGAAGTTTGCCAGCCATCTTCCTGTGAATGCTCTGAATTTCTTCACCAAAAGTTAATGCAATGCGTTCTCCCAAAAACATTTAGTGGGTTTCACTTGAATGGTTACAATACACATTGTCTTCTTATTGACTGTGGGGGTCGGTTTTGTCCATCAAAGTTTGGAGTGTTTGTTCGCAGACATTTACAAGACGAAATACCTGCTTTGAAATTTGAGCACAACCAGTATGAAGTGTTTTTAGAAGAAGTTCGTTCCCTAATTTCTTGATATTCTTCTAACAGATGTTGTCTAGGGTTCATATTATTCGTGTATTTACAGATTGTGAACTCCTTTTGGCTTTTTCTTACTCACGAGAAGTTATCAAACAGCATCCAGTTTCTTGTCTTATGATTAGTGCGATGAATGCTTTTACATATTTGGAACGTTTACGCTACAATTCGTGGAAGAGTCTTGTTAGTCAGCACTCAATCTTGATGGGTATTTTGCTCCGCGTGATTGCCGACTTTCAGCTTCTCTGTATTATCATCATGAAGTACTCCCCTGATATTCATGTTCTAAATGATTCTTTGAGTACTGATACTGAGATGTTTCACTCGAATAACTCATTAAGCTCTGAAACAAGGAACGATCATTGGTCGAAATATGTAACTCATAAAATCGAATTAATTGACTGTGAGCATTCCTTCGTATCATATATCAAACATGAATCTAGTATGAAAGTGATAAAAGACACAAGAGTTTCTTAGTTAATGGTTATTTTTGTAAAATAAAAAGATTTGTTCTCCTACTCCTCTTGGTTTACTAATGTAATAGATGCTAAATTTTCACTCCATAGTTGAAAACAAACTATCCATATCTCTAACAAAATGGTGATAAAAGTCAAGTCTTGCTACTGCCAGATCTTTAAACATTATGAGGTTTACGCTACAGTATTGGTAGCTATATGCGCGGTATATGTATTGCTCTCTGTTATTAACCATAGCTAACTATATTATTTTTTACTGACTACATATTATCCAGATAGAGTTAATGATTTCTACTTTGACACATTACTCGCTTATGATTTTTTCCTTCATGTGAAGCTCAGTGCAGAATTATGAATTAACCTCATTTTACAAAACCTGGTACATCCGAAAGCGGGGCGAGTCAGCTGTCCCTCTCGGAATGCTCTCACATGGCTACGCGTATACAGTCACTGCCAGGGAAGTCCTACTTACTGCCTTCTAGTGGCGGGGGTGTTGTTTACGAAATTGAGAGGACGAAAAGCGAGTGTTGGGCGCTCTAACCGGGTTGATGGACACGGAGGGTCCACCTACGGAAGCCTGAAAACCCTGATTCCAAACCAATGGTTCACATGGGCCTCAGGATCCTGAAGGAACAAATGGCGTATGAACCTATTGTTGGTCACCAGCTACCATGGGACTGCATCTCCTTACGATGCTCCACTGCCCTATGGACCAGACCTTTAGGTCGAAGGCTCGGGGTGTGGCCCCGAAACAAACCAGGTGCTTCGGTCTGGGCACCGGGGTAGTATCACAGTCGACACACAAATCAAGTGACTTGTTTGGCGCATATGTATTCGGTCCCCCTTCGTACCAATGCTTATGTATTTAAATAAATAAATAAAGTAGGAAGTAGGCATCTTCACTCATACAATTGAGCGTTTCCGTAGTGCTTCTAGCGTTTGTCTACTAGTTAAAGTACTCGGATTTCGACATCCGCGGCTTATGCGTAAGTAGATTTGTGCAGCTTGGTAAAATAAATAATCCTCACACAAATAATGCTGCTTAAATTGAAGTGCATAAAAGTGTGTTTAGCAAATAAGTTACATTTAAACTAAATTGGTAACTTACAGCCTTCTATGTAAATATGCCTACTAGTCATTATTATTGTTTATCACCCCACTATTGGTTCTTTACGTGGATGTTTGTGGCCAAACTAGTGCTTACCGTAGATTGTTATTTTAAATAAGTCAAATCATGTAGTGTTTGCTAGTTCAATTTTGTCGTATATTGTAGTAACCGGAATCGGAAATTGGAAACTTTATCGTACTTGAAGTACAAAGACAGCACAGTCCTGTCAAGCAAAGGTTTTAATCAAAGCCCGAATCCTTTGAGTACTTTAAGTAACTGTAGGAAGTATTTAAGAAGTGTTTTTCGTTAAATACAAAGTGTTGCTTCAGGATTGAGATACATCATCTCATATTTTATTAATAGGTAACGAATTATTTGGAGTCACCATTCCTGATGGAATTTTGACGTGGGGGCTAAGGGCTTTTTTGGCAACTATCAGCTCGGATCATTTGTGTCGCCGTTGAGTTGCTAACGGTAGCTTAGTGATTAAAACACCCAGATTGCAACTGATAGTTATTGGGTTCAAATCGTGCTCTATTTATTCCGGTTTTTTCTCTCGGACAATATCGATAGCCTACTCACGTGAGAAAATATATTTGACTAAAAGCTGGGTACGTAAACTGCAGTGGATAAATGAGTTAGATTACTATTGTAATTGAGGTATCTGGATGTTTATCAGAGAGCGTAGAGAGGTACAGGCTTTTTGGTTTGGATAATCAATGTTTTGAGATTGCTAAGCACATCTCATGACCGCTCCTTGTGTCACAATTGAGCCCTTTTTGTATTTCTGTTTGAATGTTATGCTGCTGTTGGTATAACTATTTTAACATTTTTGTTTTTCCTCTTGTTGCTTTCTAACTTTATTAATGTGTGGTTTGCTAATTCAGGACAAACCAAATTGTTCTAGACCTTAAAGTACTTATATTTACCCGAATTTTTTTAAACGAGTAATAATATATATGTCTTCTAAAGTTGTTAGCTTTTTCTTGTCATAATTCCCTAATTTATTTACATTTTGATGAGTAGCTACACATCTATCCTATAAAATGCCACTTACAAACAAGTGTTTGACTTTTTTCATCATTATAAAGCAATTAATATATTTGTAATGTCTTATTGCGTAGCAAAATTAGATTTTCTGACGTTTCGTGACTCAGTGTAAGCCACTTCTTCAGAGAATAAGTAATCAAATTGAAATTTTCATCATTGTTTATACTACATTTTTTCATAATAAAATTTCTACATTTATTTGTACTTTTGAGCTATTTTCCCATTATCTATTACATGGATTTTAAATTCTTTACACCAGAAAGTAAAACTTACCAGTCAATACTGCAATTGTTATAACAGAAACTATGGCTTCGAGTGAAGACAACGGTTACATACTCCAGAATGAAGTAGTATGCATTGAAATGAAAGCGGTTGAACCTGTTTTGTGCAAACCAAGACTCCTACCATTGAAATCTGTTAAACTTTCTGGCTATGAAGTCGAAGATGAAACCAAACGTGCGGGAAATCTAGGATTTCATAGTCATAAGGCCAAATAATTCTTAAAACTTTTTTTCATGTACAACTTATGTTCACTTACTTCAGCATATTATAAAGTAGATTATGGCAGAAGTACAGATATACATTCTTTTGTATTCGATCCTTTAGTCAGGAACCAAGTCGTTTGACTATAAAACCATCAATTTAACAATATTTGTACTGGATCAGTTTGAGTTGACTTTATTTAGGATTTGAGCTTAATCAAGTTTAAACTGACCAAATTATCACTAAAGAAAATTTCATTTTCACTTCCATTGTAATCGGGTGTAGGTGTAGATTGGAAGAAATGTGCGGTCAAACCAAAACATGCAATCAGTCCGTGCAGTCACTGAAAATTGGACTTAGCTGTGTTAATATATGTAAACTATCTGGTTGGGGTCTGCGTGATAATCATAACCAATGGTTAGAAACGTCGAGTGACATGGCTGAAAACCGCTTGCGGTGGCTCAGACGCATCCATTCTTTGTTTCTATTTAACTAATTTATCTTTTCACGAATCGCATCTTCGATGCTAAATTTCCCCTAATACCACTGATGCTGTTACTACTTCTGCTACTGTGGGATTTGCGCTAACAGTTTCATCTCATTGTGCTAATGGGGTATAACAACTGGAACTGATGTACGTAAGTACCAGGTTCTACTTTATGACTGACTAACCTGGCTGTAATCTTAGTGGTACATGGAACATTTTCTTGAAAAAACTACAGTTATGAAATCAGCTTAGGATTCCATACTATCTAGTCATTAATGTTTTGTAGTAGAAAATAACAATATTTAGCTCATTTCTGTTTATTAGAACCCACTAAGTAATATGGATTCAACATACTATCCATTAAGTAATTAAAGTTCACTATTTCTTTTCAACATCAGAGTGCGTATTCGAGTGGCTTTTTGATTGGAGAGCTGTGGTCATCAATCGTCTGGTAAACTGGACTGCTTAATGCTCAAAACATAGTATGCTCTGAATCCGTGTTACATTTTTATTTACACCCTTAACTAATTATACCAGAAGGATTTTATTGTTCAATAAACTCAACTTAGTGTGAAACTAATTAATCAAGAGATTTTGTCATGGAGATGCATCAGTAGTCAGTCAGTAACAACGTAGAACTTTGTACGTACGTACATCAGTTCAAGTTGCCATACCACATTGCCACACAGATACAGTTGTCGATTCAAATCACATAGAGGTAGTAAGAGTATAAGCAGTAATCTAAAAGACTAGGGTTTGAAGATGGTATTCAAGGAGTATAATCCAGTGAAATAAATTTGGTAAGAGAAAAAAAAGGACATGAAGAATTCAGAAGATTAGAGTTTGGGAGAACATAAAGAGTGGGTGCACCTGCGCCATTGCAAACGAAAAGGGATATACCGTAGAGGAACACGGTTCTACTAAAGTCTCTTGTTTTAAACACTTCTGGCCGCGTCAGAATTTGCATTCATCCGTCACTTAGCCTGCTACATCATGTGTTCGTTAGCGTTTTCCACTCTTTAGTCAGTTTTGCCGTTTATATACTTCTAATCTTGCGTTTACTCTATTGTAATATAATCCCCTACTAAACTTTGGCAAACCCCATTGCTCAACGGTAGTGTAAAAAGTCCGAAACGAAATGTGTTAGAAAAATTTTACATCATTCTTATAATTTAGTTGACGGACAATGTGAATGAATAGATCGATTACTACTAGCAAAAGACGGTAAGCCTGAGTCAGGATATATATAAAGATTGTAGTGTCAGTGATTATTTTAAGCCCATGTATCTTATTCTAGCTTTCGGACATTCCATTCTATTCATTCTACTTCAGTCATATGTTGACCTTGTTAATTATCCGCTTGTTAGTCTTGATTGTTTTTATATGAGCGTATA